CTCCTTGCTTCTTTAACCTTTTAAGACACTAAAAGTACAAAGTATTATAGTAAACTATAGATGTTTACTATAGTTTCCTATATAAATTTTATAGTTTTCTTGAATTGGATCATCTCTCTCTAAGAGAATTCAAAAATTTGTCTCCAGCAAATCCCACCTCCTTTTTGACAAGTACTGCCTATGATTTTTATTTTCCAATAGTCATACTTTCTGTCTCCCTGGGAATGCTTTATCAGGAGAACTTAAGCTATTTAAATCAGCATTAGTAATCCAAAAGTCATCTTATGCTGCTTGGTAAGAGGCTACTATACACATAGACTCAATTGGCTCAATGGATGCGAAGGGGCAGAATGGGGTGCCACCAAGACTCAGGCATCTTGATTCCTGCTGGAAGAGCTGACAGCGTTATCTGGGGGTGCAGCTCACCAACTTGTCTCATGAGGAACAAGCACAGCTTTTTTTGGTTTAACGCTCAGGAAGCAAAACTTCCAGACTTTAAACCCTGTATTACCTTGAGCAATACGCAATCAAAAGGTGTGTGACTAAGTATATTCAATGTGACAGCAGTTTAACGGCTTGGTGACCATGCTGTCTTATGTCAGGCTAGGCCAGCTACAATTGCCATGATATGCAATTTGTCAAGAAACACTCATGTTAAGTTACATTAAATAAATAGACAGCAATAATAACATCCGAACCTCCAAAACTAGATACCAAAAAAAAAAAAAAAAAAAAAAAAACAAAAAACAAAAACCCCAAAACTAAAGGTTCTTTCCCAAGGACATTGTGAGGGTGTTTTAAAAATGGGCATGGCTTTGTTAAAAAAAAATACTTTAAATGTAGTTACCTTTTCACATTATCATTTATATAGACTTTTATTTGGGCAAATGAATTTTTGATAAAAATCCAAGCTCTTTTCAATATCAGCTACTGTAATTTGGGACAATATAAAAGAGAGAAACACCCATGAAGATTTTTAGAGGTTTTTAAAGTAGGCTTTTCCTTAGCTCTTTACTCTCAAATTTTTATCTTTCATATGATAATTCCAAATAATCAGCCTGGAAAGAAGTAGCAGAAGTATTTAAGCTGCAGCTCACAAAGTAGATTTCTATTTGTGATTCTGATTTGTTTTTTTGAATGCTGGTGATGGTTCATGAAAAAGATTAATATGCAAAGAGCAAAATCTAAGACTGCTATTTCCCCTGATAAACCCAAGTGTTTTCCATAATATAGACTATGTCTCAGGATACAGAATTTTAATTTTACTCTTCAAATTAAAAGTATTAGGAGAGTGAGTGAAACCATTCGCTGCTCGACTTTTATTTCATCCAGGAACAATGACATCTGGTATCATCACATTGAACTTGCTTAATAACAGGGAGAAAAAAAATACATGTTGCCTGTTGAGACCCAGCTTGGCTTATCATTTGGTCCAAATTTTATATTCAAACTACCAAAAAAAAATTCATCTAAAAAGAAAAACATGAACAATTTACCGCCCCCCACCCCTACCCCCACATTCTGGGAAAAATCAAAATAAAACTAATGCTATTGTAGCATTTCTTAGCAAGATCATTAGGGAAATGTATAAACACAACACCTTTTCATTCATATTAACATCTGAAAATGAACAGCAAAAACCCTAAATGTCCATATATTGGAAAAAAGAAGCAAGTGGAGGTTCGGAATTCTCATAAGAACTGCTGAACATTCTCTTCCATTGCTTTCAAGAGGGTCATCAGGATGGCAGTTTCTCAACATTTGTGCTTCATGGCAAGCTAAGGAGAGAGAGGGATGAGAAAAGTGAGACTCAGTAATAGGTAGATCCCTCTGCTGCCTCCTCCCCACATCCACATCAAGAAGCAGAACCAAGATTTCACTCTCTGTACATCACTGTGACTATTCACAGTGGCACCTTGTAGATGAGCAACACTTTCCAAATAGTTCAGTGGACACTGGCTTACTTCTCTTCCTGTGTTAATTTAAGTGGTGTACGTGTCCAGTGGGAGAAAGTGCGGTGCTGTATTCTTTCAGCCCATTGAAGGAACAACTGGAAAAACTGATGTACAGGCAGAACTCACCCTAGAAAAGTTGGGATTCCCAGGTTACCAATTATCCAGGAAAAGCAGTACTCCTATAATATAAGTATCTACTGACATCTCATGATGTATAAAAACTAAATGGCCTGTAGTGGGACAATATACAATCATGTACTCACTACCCAGTCCGGATCTTCAACCAAGTCCGAAGACCTTGACAATTATATTGAGTTGCTGACTTGGGCTGAACAACTGACCAAATTCAGACCTTGACTTACTACTTCTCCAACTGGTATCTGAGGAATGTGATCTATTGAAACGTTAGCTCTTTATAAATAGGAACACCAAATAGCCCACTTGGGAGACCAGGATCATGTATTTTAAAAAACGTTATGCAGATACAGAATTGAGTTAAATCTTTCTTTTCTTATCTAGATCTTCTCCCAAGGGACCCATAGAAGGCACAGCAGAGACTGAGTTGCAATTCTTCATGTGTTCAGAGTCTGACATTGGGGATGAATCCCAGGATTGATCTGGGAATGACCAGGAGGAGAATTCTGTAATGCAGAATTCCTTTGAGCAAAGAACAGATGGTGCTCTGAGGCAATAGCTTTGTTAAAACCCTGCCATTGCATCATGATCAGGTTCTCTGCCTTTTAAGAATTAGGTGTGGACCTGCTCTCATGTTGGAAGGTTAACCTTTGTGTTTTACAAAGAGCATGTGAAGTTGAGTATGCACAGGCTGCTAGGCTGAGTGCTGTGGGGTTCTGCCAAGAAGTGTGGAGGTGGCTAATAACTCTGATATCAAAGAGTCAAGAGTCCAGGACAGTAAAAAGAACTATAAACTCCAGTGAGTAAAAAGACAAAGCCAGGGCTCTACCTCAGATTGGTCCCACTCCTTGGCCACCCTCTTTACTGTAAGGCCTCCACTTCTTGCTCTGCTTCCATTCTTCAAACATTATTTAGCAATGAGGACCATCAAATAAACACCGAACTGTTAAATGTCTTGCATAATGAATATCAAGCATGAATATTTGATTAGTGCCACCGTTCTGGTATTTGTTGAGCTGTTAACTTTCCACTAAGGCACCTGTGCCAATTCACACATAGCCATTAATCTTCAATGGTGATTGTGCTGCTGCTCAAACTAGACCCCAGTTTCCAGGACAGTGCATCTGGAATGGAGCTCAAGGGACCACCGGTTGTGACCAGCTGTGCTTTGCAGAAACACAACCTCATTTGCTATTTGAAGTACCTTTATGGTCTGAATGTTTGTGTCCCCCTACCTGCCATTCATTAACCCCCTATGATATGGTATTAGCAATTGTGGCCTTTGGGAAGTAAGTAGGTCATGAGGGTAGTGTCTTTATAAATGGGATTATATCCTTATAAAGAGGGTAGAGAAAGGCCCCTAGCCCTTTTCACCATTAGAGGGCACTCTGAAAAGTTGTCATCTATGAATCAGAAAACTGGCCTTCAGCAGACATGAAATCTTCTGCCACCAGGCTCTTAGGTTTCTCAGTCTCCAGAACTGTGAGAAACAAAGTTCTGTTGTTTTATCAGTTTTATGGCATTTTGTTACAGTAGCCTGAATGACCTATGATAGGCATTTTTGCAGAAAGTGGCATCATTTACTTTTTAAGAGAAATCCCCTGGGAATTGGGAGCTTTAGAATAGAAGGCAGGATGGTAAGAGCAGGAAGAACACTAGACTAAACAAGGTCAGGACACCTGGTTACAAATTTTCTGTGTGACCTTGAGCTCTAAGGTCACAGCTGTTCCAAACCTTAGCTTCCTTATATATCTATTAAAACATCTCCAACTCTATGGATTAATATAATTTAAGTGTCAGAGTTCTCAAAGAAGTTTAAAATTTCCTTTTGATCTATTCTGTTTTCTTAATTTCTCATGGAAAACTTCCTCTTTCAATGTAATCTATCTAAATAATGATAATTAAAAAATCATCACTGACACTTGGTAGATACTTATAGGAGGCCCGAGACCCTTCCCTCTGGGCCTAGAGGTCCAAGGGAAACAGCTGGCTGTAGTACCTGGAGAGTTGGCCATTCCCTTGCAGTGAGATGAATGCCACTTGCCCTTCCTTCCCCCTGACAATGTGGGTTTCTACAGAACGGGGCATATCCATGCTCCTTTCTGGGAGAAGTGTCATCTGAGGATGCCTAGGCGTGGGTAACACTTGCCTGCTTACTCATGGCCCCGTGGCGGGCTGTGGGTACTGCACACACTGTAGCGCTGTGCTTTTGGGGGCAGGGCTGCTCTGTGGTGGAGCTGTTCTTTCCTAACAGCTGGGACTGTGCCCAGTCCATGGCTCAGGAAGGAACCGCACTTCCTGAAGCCGGGCTAACCAGGGCGGAGATGAGGGATGCAGGGGAGTGGGGAGAAGGATCACTTTCCATTTGCTCTGTAGGGGACAAGCACCCCAATAGCATAAAGGCAGGATTGTGCAAAAGTGATTCCTTTACTCTCATACCTGGGTCATTGCAGGGATTCCGGGAAAGTTAGAAGGTGAAAGATCTGGTTCTATTGCAGTCTGGACAGGTGTTGGTATACCTTCCCACGAGGGGTGGTGTCCTGCTTCAACTGGGAGCTTGGAGGAACTGTCACCTAGAATCACTATTCTCTGCTCAGGGCTCTGCCATGGGTGCTGTGCCTCCACTTGTAAACACAGCCCACTCTTGATGAGTCAACAAAGCCACTTATGCCTGGGGGTGGAAGGCCTGGCTTCCATCTCTGAACTCTTTCCTCACCAGCAGGTCCCACTGGGGCCTGGCCAGTGAAATGACATCTTCTTGGTAAGCCTACTCTAGCAGGGCCAAATCAGCAGTCCTCATCCCTGGGAAAACAGCCACACCTTATCCAAAGAGGTCAATCTGCTCGTTAGGAATACTGCCAATGTCAGTGATTCATAAGCACATATCCCAGTTGTAGAAAACATCAAGTCTGGCTTTGACACTGTCTCACACTCCTGCAAACATGCTAATAGACTCCAGCAGCCGCTCTCCCTGAAGAACACTGCAGGAGGGGAAACGGGCCCAATGCCAACTGCCCCTGCCTTGTTCCTCTCTACCGAAAGCAGGTAACTAACTGCCTGACACAGACCCTCCCGTGGTCAAAGCCAGAGTCTCCTCTGCCTTGGGTGGCTTTGTCAGGTTCCTGTTTCAAGTTGCTCTCCATGTAGAGGGTATGGACTTGTAGTAGGAGGCCCCCCACCCCAGTGTCCCTCCACATTTTTCTCTCTTGCTATTTTGAGGAGCCTCTGTCACAAGTAACACTTCTCCAGCTCCTGTGTAGTACTCATTGTGACTGAAAGGGCAGGTTTAGCAGAAACTATTTTTATGGAAGTAATTTTAAATAATAAAAATTCAGATTTATACATGTTACATGCTGTGCTGATAGATTCAAACTCATTAAATTCTTTAACACCCTAGAAAGTAGTACTATCATTAATTAGCTGTGTTTTACTGATGAGGAAACTGGGGCTAAGAGAAATTTAGCACTTGTCCAAGGTCACCCAGATGGTAAATAACAGGTCTGAATTCAAACAAGATGTTAACTACCATACAATATTGCTTCCCAATCACCTAGTCAACTTGGCCATGATATCAGGGAAACACAGTTGCCAAGGCCAAGAATTCAGGCCATCTGGTTAGGTTATCCTCTTGGGTGTTTGTACAACCCCCTCTGATAGGGACGCTTTTATGGAAGGCATCCAGGTATTGTCTATGCTACCTTAAGAAGAGTGATTTCATAGTCTCCCTTGATAACCTGGTTCATGGTTAAATCATTACCCTCAATTCTTGTTTTAGCAGAATTTTATCAGTACTCTATTGATTGCTCCATGCTGTGTGAGAAGCCATGAAAGAGAACTGCTGCCCTTCACCCTTCCCAGTCCTGAGGGAGTTAGGAAATCATTCCCTTTAGCCTTCTCTTTCCCAGCTCAACATTTAAAATGTTTCTCCAAATTTCTACTGACCATTTCCATTTGAATTATTTAAGTTGCTGCTATATGAATGTGAGACTGAATTCCAGCATTTCTATCTCATTTCCACCTCTGTACACAAAGGCTGGAGAAGGGAGGGAGGGACTAAGGAAACCTTAAATCTGAGTTCACTTCCTCTGTAACAGCTGCAGCAATGACGCCCTGGCCTCCAGCAGGGCTGTTACATTTTCAGAAAGATCAGGCCAATTCTCTAAGGGTCTCCAAAGGGTCCCAGGGGTAGCAGTGCAGTAAGACACTGTGGCGATAGAGAATCAATGATACCCCCGACAGGTCTGTGCAAAGTTGATGCAGGGAGGAACAGCAGGAGGCACCTACCTGGAGTCACATGCTCAGTTGGGACTGAGTGCGAGCCTGGGAGAGGCCACCTCTGCTGTGGTTATTTTTCTTTTTCTTTCTTTTTTTTTTTTTGGTGCTGGGGATTGAACCTTCTGCATGTTATTTACAAAACCCCAGCCCTGGGGTTATTTTTCTTGTTGCTTTTTAGGTTGCCCATTTTTGTTTCCTCAGCAGCAATAGGACTTTCTGTTGGTGCAAATTAATTTTTTTTTCCTCAAAAGTCACCTGAAAAGCATATCTAAAGGTCCAGATTATGAGTCTGACAGACCATCATCAGCAGAGTTTGTTTCTGGAAGCCTAAATTCCAATCCCTAGCCAGAAAAAGAACTGCCCTTTGATCTGAAGCACGGGGACAGCATAAATCCTCTTTAACACCTGACCAATGGGGCCCCTTATCTTCAGTTTGTGAATGCCTTAGGTAGTGACTACCAATAAAAACTCCCGTTTCACCTTCTGAAAGGTGCTGTTCTTAGCAAGGGTATGGAGGTATGTGGTGCGCACCCAGTGACATGGGGAATGCCATTCTCTAGACCTGGAGGCAGGAGGCATCTTGCAGCTTCACACCGTCTGAGCCCAGAATCCACGCACTGAAATAAAACCTGACCCCTGTCAGTGGGCACACCAGCCCTGAGACTGGAGCTTGCTTTGTGCCTGGGGAAAAGACAAGAACACGAGATGCCAGCTACAGGACAGGAAAGAGACAGGATCGAAAAGTAAGCCCAAGCAGCTTAAAGCGCACCAAGGACACTTTCAGGCCTTGGCAGGGGTGGCAGATACATTTGGAGACTGGATGTCATTTCTGCCTCATCCTGTGCCCTGAAACTTGAATCCTGACGTCCTGGGCACCAACTAAAATGTTCCAGATTTCCTAAAGAGGCAAGGTTGGAAGGTCAGAGTTAGGGATAAGATGAGGACATCAGAAAGGCCATAACAAAGAAACCAGATACAGAAGAAATTTTTCATAACTCTGGTACTTAGTAAGTAGCACATGGAAATTATCAAAGAGAAATTTTTTTAAAAAGCTGCTTGATTTTATATCTTGCACCACAGGAAACATGGCTGAAATAAAAAGTTTCTTGATATTATAACTTCCTGGCAGCCCAGAGCTAAGACCCCGGCCCTCAGCTGGCCCACCTTGTGTGCAGTTTCTGCAAACTGCTGGGCACTATTCTTCATGTCTTCCGTCTTCTCCTCTGCTCGGCCTAATCGCTCCCCACGCTCATTCAAGGCCTGGCTAGCCTTCTGTACTGCGCTGGTCACGCTATCAGCGGCCGAGTGGAGGATGCTGTTTCCTGGAAGAAGAAGAGCAAGAGCATCAGGTGCTAGCTTAGTTGACCCACAGTGACCAGACCCTATGCTATGGAAAAGCCTCCAGCACTCTGGAAGCAAGCTGACATTTCTTCTGATTCTGTCTGACTGACTGACTCACTGTAGAAGACTTCCACAGATGGACAGCAGAACCTAGGCAGATTCTGGATGCTTTTCTCCACACCCATCAATTTTGCCAGTGTTCTGTCTGCTGAGGCTCAAAGAGCTGGGGCCCATCTGGATTTAAGACTTGGCTTGCAAAAGTAAATGAGAATCCTGACAAGTTCACAGAATTAGGCAAGTTCAATGAGTCATGTCTGGACCTTACGTGCATTTCCTTTTGGTTTGCAAATTTAGGAGAATCATCAGAGGAAAAATGGGGCCACAGGACTTTTCCAGATACAATGCTCTGTAATTCCTATAATTCTTCGCTTTCATTTTCTTCTTTCATCCAGCAAGTAAGAAATACCCCCAAATATATAGCTCTCAAGAGCTACGACTCAGTCTCAAAGTTTAAGGTAGATGTGTTGGCTTCCAGCCTTGAATCCTGTGCCATGGCTAGGATTGCTGGGCCTACTGATCTCTGATTCCCAGTATATGGAATAGGAAGCCTCAGCATGAGCAGGTAGAAAACTATTACACAAAACAATGTACAGGAAATTTGACATTCCCAAACTCAGGAATGATGATAATGAGAAAATGAAAAAGCATCACATCTCAGAGGGTCATGCATTCTCAACATCCTATTTGCCAAAGACTGGTCAGCAAAACTTGATGGTGAAGAAGTTGCAGACGCATAACCCACTGAGAAGCAGCAACTTGCAAATGACAACCAAAGGAAATTTATAGCTGTATTTTGTTAACACTGAGTGGAAGATATTTAATGGCATTTCATGTAATAGCTTTATGTCTTTGAATAAGTTTATGACATCATTTAACTTTGTACCTAGGATGGATGCATCTAGCCACAGACAGCTTTTAATAGAAATGTAATTTCCACTGGTCTTGGCTGCAAAGACTTCTAATTTCTCCTCTGTAGGAACAGCCTGTGGTTTGTGGAAAAGGATCTCAGGCAAAGAAAGTGCCTGGTCTAGAGGAAGCACTTAGTGAGTTGTTTTCCATTTTTCTTCTTTAGGAGTGGACTTCAAGGGCTTCAAACACACACTAAGGGAAGGAGAATGGGATTAACTTAGTGTTACTATTTGCAGAAAGCATCACATGAACCAGCATTAAAAAAAATGTGTACAATGGAGCAGGGAGCAGAGGAGACGTAACTGGAGACATTTGGTGGAACACAGGCTTGGAGTGGAAGGTCTGGGATTTTGGAACAGATTTAGGGGGAGAAATCTTAGTCCCCTTTTGTTTTCATGTCATTCTCATGACTATGATGAAAGCCTATTATCCAACCTAATATTTATATAGCATTTTTGCAATCATAAATCACCTTCACAAATACTACCTCACTTGATTATCCAAAAATTCTACTGAGAATCCAGACTGGAGAGGTGGAAAGGCCTGCCCAACATTGTATCACTAGGGAAATGACACACCAGCACAGGGACCAGCTTTCTCCAATGACTTTTCCTTATTATGTACCCCCTTCTTTGCAGATATGATGTGGGTCTGGGGAAGCAATCACTTAACATTGTGGTAGCATAGGAACAGGTTTCACAGGTTATTTCCCAAGGTAATGCGCCTGACCATTTCTGTCTTCAAAGTATTCTACTTGGTAGATTCAGAGCTACCCATGTCACATTGCAAGTCCTATGATCTGAAGATGGGAGAGGCCAATGGTGTGTGATGAGAAGATGGCTTAGAGCCTGGAAGGTGCTGGGAGAGGAGTGGCACAAGGAAATCCCTTCATATACCCACAGTTTAGCCACATAAGGACTGGGAAAACACAGGGCAGGCCACTTCATGGCTAGGAATAGCCACATTAAATCAAAGGGATTTTAGAATTAGTTGCTATAAATTTAAGAGGGTGTGTAAAGAGGATTTGCCTTTTCCTTTGGAAGTGACCCATGTGATTAAAAGTTATATACATTTGGGTTTCTGGAATGGACCTGCTACACATAAGCCATACTACTTTCTCATCATGACTTCCCTAAAATTAGTCTGGTACATGATGTCAGATGATATCACACCCAGTTTTATATGATATTATTTAACCAATAGTTGTTATAAAAAATAGAACCAAATGGTACAACTGAAAGGGAACCAAATGCTGCTTTTACTGTTCAAAGATGACACTGTGGACTACTATCAATAAGAAATCTACCTTCAGTGATTTTCAGGCACAAGAATGAATTTGGACAAATCTCATTTTCCTAGTTGAAATGCTCTCTCCCAGTCTCAATTCTATGCACAATTCAGGCCCAGTGAAGTCCCATCACCTTTATCAAGCTCTAGATCAATTCCCTTCTCCTCCTCAA